TTCCTGACCACCGATATTCCTGACTCAATGGACAGCAATGGCGCATGTGTGACGTACGATAAATCACGTAATGTCCAGTCCAATAATATATATATCCATCAATGCTGCTGGCGCTCTGTCCTTCTCTCGCACTTCCCGCTACTTAGCAGTGGGTGTCAGGTTACATTGTGTTGCATTCAATGTTGTCGAAAAAAAGAGTGAGTTTCATGCGCTTATGTCCGATTTGCCATAACTATTTATTGAATTCATTGTCGCTAGCTGGGGTGGCAACAGGGGTGGCGAGGCTCTCCTTAGGGGTGGCAACTGCCACCCCATGCCACCCCAGTAGATCCGCCCCTGACTTTAATATTACTGGGATTTCAAGTGATTGGCCAAAACAGAGCAGTGGTTAGTTGTATTGGTTTTTCTTGATAAAAATGTAAAAGTGGTGTGCTTCTGTATTCAGTCAGTTTAACCTGTTATATTTAGCTACCAAATAACTGAAAGTAGTTTTTCTTTTGTTGTTTATTTATTTGAAATAAATATAAAAGTAAAGGGGAGTGAATACTTCATCAGGTTTCTGTTCGCTACGATTCTAACATAGTAAACATCCGATGTTTTGAATTTGTTGAAAAGTGAAATATTAAATTTAACCTTCGTTTTATTCAGATTATTATACAAAATATGAATCACTGCTGCTTTAAACTTCCTTCAGGAACTGAATATTACTGTTATACCCCCTGTTTGTTTTGAAAAGCTCACTTTTTTCATATTTGTTTTTAATAATTTCTTCCACTCTTAGCGGCATGTGGACATCTTTGACCTAGTGTCAGGGATGCAGAAGGAGGCAATGAAGGAGGAGAGACTGGAAAAGGAGAGGAGGAGGGAGATAAAGAGGAAAAAGAGAGTGAAAGAGAGGCAGAAAGAAAGGGAGCCAGAGAAGGAGCTTGACCAAGAAAAGGAGAAAGACGATGAGGAGGTATTACGCAGCATGAGGGGAAATGATTCTGAGTTTCAAATATGGTTTTGGCTTTTAAATCTCACCTTAGGTATTTTTAACGTTTTTACAATAAAGCCTCAAAATGAGAAATGTTTACTTCTTTCTCCTCAAGAGATCCCAAAACTAATCATGGCGCCAAATTAGGACATGAACCCGTCTCCAAGGTCTGGAGAAGCCCAATCAGAGATCTTAAACATCTTCATCAGGCTTGATTGGGGAAAAAGTTGGGAAAATTCTTCTAATGGCTGATTTTTTGTTTTTCTGTATGCAGGCCTCAATATATCATATGAGGTTCACAAAAACCTCACATTTTCGAAAAGCTCTTTCATTTCAATGGATTTGCATTCATCAAGTTGTGAAATTCAGAATGATTCTCCCGCTGCAGCTCAGTCCGTGTGTGTGTCCTTGTTTTTTAGACACAGTGGAGTTCAGGGCCAGAGGCATGAATTTTTTAACCGTTTGAAACTATTGACAGGCTCCCTTTTAGTTTTCTGCATTGTGATGACGACGCTAGGAGACAGAAATGGATATCGAAACGGTGAAAAGTGATCTGAATTCACAGCAGCATGCCTCCCAGGCCTCACGGGATCTGATGAACTCTAGTCACTGTCATGGTTGCAGTTTTCCTCTCTGTCAGTTGATCTGTTCAGATGGAGGTTTACAGCTGAAACTGTCCCATTTTATCTTCTACTGTTTTATAGTTTGGTGTTTTGTTGTAGTTTTAGATAGAATTACACAGCTGTGAAAATATTTACTCTCCTACAGATTTCTTCTGTTTTTTTCATGTGTTAATGAAACAGCAATGCAAACCAACCTCCTGCTGTTATAATGTGACCCAACAGCTGCTTGAGATTGTAAAATCACTGAGGTGGATTTTTGGCAGAATTGTTTAAATTCAGCCATATTTGAGAGTTTTCCAGGATGGAAGTCCTGTTTAATGTCAAATAACCACAAACGGACATTTGTGTTAAAGTCCATACTTTGACTAGGACACCCCAAAACCATCTGGAAGTGGATTTGCTGGTGTGCTGTTGAGCTTAAAGCTGCAAAATCGAGGCCAGACTAAGAGTCGCGATAACTGAATATTTTCCGTCTTCCTGACTTCTGATCACTTCAACAGGAGAAATGTTCCCTGATTTCAAAACTCTGGCCAAAGTGCCTATTGTAATTCCCATCCCCATTGTGGCAGCAGATCTGATTCATCCTCCAGATCAACATCAAAACCCTGAAACATTTGATCACACACAATCAAGCGCCAAATTCAGACGCCACATGCGTATTTTTCTGTAGGTTTGATTTTCTTTTTTAAAACGCTATTAGTTTGAGATGTAAACTTTATTTTCCCAAACGTCTTCAGCTCAAGATGTTTTTTGGTGAACCATGACCAAGTGAGGCCTGCAGAGTTTTGCATGTGGGGCTGATGGAGTAAATACATCTTTGTAACTTTTTAACGTGGAGTGCATCCATAGCAGCTTTCTGAGCGATCACCCATCTCTAAAAGACTCACCTGGTGATGCTGATTTTGCCGATATCATCTTTTTTTTTGCCTGAAAGGTTTCACATGTAGATGTGACCTGGTGGCGGATCTGTCAGGCGGCTCCGTCTCACTGCAGAGCTAAAGTGGCTGAGTTTCAGATCATGCAGCAGTGGATAAGATCCATGGATAATATTGGTCTCTCATGTTATTGGCCAATCAGCAATCATCCAAAATCTAGGAAATTGGGGCCGATTTATTGTTTTTCCAGACGAATAAATGTTGATGACTTTATTCTCATCTGTTCTTAGATTTTTTTTTTGTACATGTTGTGTTGCTTTTTTAGATCTTAGCCAACTTTACGCTGTCAGGCAGGTTCTACCTCATCAGGCCTGTTTGGCTATTAAAACTCAACAAAAAACTACTGGGATATTTAAATTTTTTATGAAGAAATCTGTAAGGGGAGAAATACTTTTGTGATGATTCTGTGTCTAGCTGTCACGTTATGGGTTATTAACATTGCCTATTTTGATTTTTTTTACCACCTGAGTTGTCCCTTACTGTTTTGATTTTGAGCTGTTTAACCCTCTTAAGACCATAATTGTAACTGGGGCGCCTGGTATTTTTCTGATTTTATGGCTGTAAAATTCTCAAAAAATGTGCAATTAGTCTGAATTTTTGCTCTTTTTTCCAGAACAACCTCAGCTTTCAGTATTCAATAGTTATTTAACATTTCTGTCTATTAAAAATTGAGTATAAACAGTTTAAAGAGAAAAAAAACAAAAATCGGAATTGAAATTTTCAGGTTTATTGCTGAACAAAAACTTTCTGATGACAGGGGCAAACAATTTCAGATGAACAATTTCAACTTTCAACTACATTACATAAATGCTGAGAAAACTGTGAAGCCTGGCCTCCAATTTACAAGTTTTAATGCCTGTTTTTTATTAAATTATTTCAGGCGTTTTCATTTTTTGTGGTAGGCTCTAAAGCAGTTCCTCTCAAGATGCAGACAGAATCTCACTCTTGATCCATTCATACTTTATCTATCAGACTTCAGGTTGAAAGGGTCCTGCCCTTCTCCAGTGGTCAGGAGCAAGAGGCAGGGGACACACTGGACAGGTCACCAATCCCTCACTTGGTTGATTTGTTGTTGTTTTCACAATTCATCTTTTGGCAGAGAAAAAAGTCTTGGTGATTTTTATTTTTTTCCTTTTTGCCAAAATCACTTTGGGTAAAAATATTACTTAGGACATTATTTTTGGAAGACCACGATTTTATTTTCAGCATAATAAATAATTATTGCACAAATTATGCAGGAATCAAGATGGAGCTAACAGTTAGCCAATAGCTGTGCAGCATTCATATGACTAACGTTAGCTTGTACAAATATTTTACATAAGCTGGTTATATGTCTCTTATGTTCACTGCCTTCAGACATCAGTCTGAAGGCAGTGAACCTTTATCAGTTTGGTGGATTTTCTTTTAGACATTTCCATAATTTTATGCGCGCCTTCACCTCGTGCTCTGCCGTTTTCTCTCTCTCTCTCGCACCGCTACTCCGTTGATACAACACGGAGCTCCGCAGGGAAATCCCGTAACGAAAATATTTACTCTAATATCTGCTGCAACATGCACATGTGATACATCGTTGGAAAGGTTATTTTATGCACTTTCTAGTACTTTTTGAATTTTTTGAATGCGACCAACTGTTCAGGAGTTACGATACAGAGTAGGTTGGGTGACAAATATGACATATCGGAGAATCTTTCTTGTGATTGGTCAAGCTCATATCAAACTTTCCCGGGTGGCTACCGTAATATATCATATATGCCCTGAAAGCGCAATGTCTCAGCTTTTCTGCACTTTTGGAATTTTTTTGATATGTTGAACTGTTCATAAATTACGGTAATGGGAATTACACATGCGGAATCCTGTCGGCGCCGACAGGTTGGTCATAAGAGGGTTAACGTGATCATTAACCCATTTAATCATGTCGTCTGTATCATGTCTGTTTTCCTCCCTGTTTTCTGTCTTGTCTTCATCAAGTCTGTTTATGTTCCTCACGCGCTGGCGTTCAAGAGATCGTACGCCACAAAGGTAGCAGTATTACATCCTTTCCTGTTGAAAACTCCCTCCACTCCTCGCTCCTCCACTTCTGCACAGTTCGCTGTCGTAACAAGCTGCGTGTTTCTGGCCCACAACTAATAAACGGCGCTCGCTCTCTCACTGCTGGATGCTCTAAAACGTGACTCCTTCCTAAAAGCTCGCTCTACTGGTCACTCTGATGAGACTGCATCTCTGTCTTCCTCTTCCTTCTGACGTTTATGTCGTAAATATTCATCTGTCGTGTGGATTTACTCCAGTGAGCCGACTGGAGCAGCTTGTTCTGCCTCGCTGCCTTTACTCCTTTCTTCTTATTTATGAAAGCTTTTCATGTCCCAGCAAGTCATCTGAAAACGAGAAAATTCCAGCCATTTTTAAATAAGCAAACTGTAATTCATCCTATAAAAGAGCATCTCCAATCTGTGGTTTCTATGGAGTCTGGAAATTTGTGATTTTATTATTTTTCAAGACTAGAAGTACAGAAAAGATGCCGCAGATTTCAATTACCTGAAAGATAGAAATTAGATAAAATTCTATATCACTTAATTTATTACAAATATTGTCTTTTATTTGCTTGTAAAGGATTATTAATCTGGTACAATGAAGTGTTAAAAAAGAATGAGAATAAAGTCATAACATTAGAAAATAAACATGCAATTTTATCAGAATACAAGTTGTCAGATTACGTGAGAAGAAAAGACATTTTAATGATAAAGAATCGTGGATGAGTCCGAATCTCTTTCTTTGAAAAAATTCATTCGTTTGCACAAAATCCTGATAATAATTTGATGCTGATGAGTTAAATTTCATCTTTGTAAAACTTATTCAGAAGTAAGACTTTACAATATACTCAACATTCCTCATTTTAATTTTTAATGCTTTTTGTGTTACTGTTATAAAATTACTACTTCATTCTCCTACTATTATTTTTTTTTCTGGTAATATTACAACTTTATTCTCATGTTATTATGAGTTTACTTTAATTAGCGATTCTGCAAATTGTGGTGTTTAAGCTTATTTACATGTTAATTCAAACCTCGAGATGTTTTTCAGTAAATTTCCGTTCTTTTAGAAAACCAGTCCGGTGAATCCCCGCCTCACCTTCCACCGTCCTGTTTCCCTTTCTGCTGTTGATGTTCTGAAGTTTCAGGCTCCTTCTGCGGCTTCCAGTCTGAAACTTTTATAAAAGAGATTCTCTGAGTCATATTTTCTGTTCTCTACCAGAAAACCTACACAGAGGAGGAGCTGAATGCCAAGCTCACACGCAGAGTCCAGAAAGCCGCCCGGCGACAGGCGAAGCAGGAGGAGCTCAAACGGCTGCATCGCGCGCAGGTACACGGCTCAAAGTAAATCTGTCCTGATGTCATCTCAGGGTTTTAAGCTGAATTATCGGAGCTCCGGCTGCTTTTCTCTTCTCTTTTGCGTCTTGATACCATATGTGCTGTTCAGCGTGACCCAGCTGCTGCGGCCTGAGCCCAGCTGCGTGGCTCATTTAGGAAAGTGTTTGGGATTCGGACCTTCAGGGTTCTGACTCAGCTCTAAGCTGCCTGCTTCCCTCAGGCTGTTTGGCTGTTTTGCCTCGTTTCTGCTCAGCATTTAGTTTTTCCTGTCTGTCACAGCCAAACAGAAAATCTTTCTGCATGCTTATATATGTCAGTATATAAGCATGTTAGAATTTTGAGAGGCAATTTATTTCAGTAATTCAATTTAAAAGGTAAGACTTTGCATATTTTCACACTCACTGCTTTTTTATTTTTTTTTTTACGATGAAAGGGAAACCTGAAATTCGTCTTCTCAGAAAACTGGAATATAAATCATATTTTTAATCCAGACATGTGAACAGTGTCTGCACTCTGGACTGGGCTCCTTTTGCATGAACTCCTGCATCAGTGCATCGTGGCAGGAAGCAGATCAGCCTCTGGTTCTGCTCAGCTGTTCAGGAAGTCCAGCTTGCTTTGATCAGCTCACCTGCATTGGTGGTTCTGGTATCTTGACAACTGGGTTTACATCGGTGTTACCATGGTGATTGAAGCTGGAATGGTTCAGGAAGGGCTTAGTGGGTTTTGCTTCAGAATCCTTTCAGGGCTGTGATTATCCCTCTTGGCTCCACAGCTTTTCCTTCCACTAAACTTTCCATGGACCAGCCTGCAGTGGCTTACCTTCCTTTTGGAGAGTGTTTGATTCCCCACTGAACAACTCATGGCAGCATTCATCCTTGTTGTTTTGTTGTGAAACTGACATTTTCATTGGCTGCAGGCCAGAATCATCAAAATGAACAAAATAAACACTTTAAATATATCACTTTGTGTGTAAAAAGTTCAGCTTTTTGAGTTTTTTAATTTACTGAGATGCAGCCTTATGAATTTAATACCAAACTTTTTGTGTGTGTTGTGGTAGCTGGTACATTTCTGTCTTAATTCATTGCAGCTGTTGTTGCTCATTTTTTCTCCCATTTCCAGCAGCTTTTTTTTTTTTTTTTTTGTACTCTGAATTGCCTTAAGTCCCGTTTAAAACGGCCAGTCCTGGTTCAGTATGGACCATTAGATTCACTTCGACGTTTATGGGATGATGAAGGGCCAGGTTGCATTTCATTCCTCCACAGCTGCAGTGAGATGTACTTTATGAGGTGGATTTATTTAAATATGTGAATTGAATATTTGGCATGTCTGGTCTGTTCCTTCCTCTGAGCCGTTAATTCTTGATATGTCTGCGCAGATCATCCAGAGGCAGCTGGAGCAGGTGGAGGAGAAGCAGCGGCAGCTGGAGGAGCGCGGTGTCGCCGTGGAGAAAGCACTGCGGGGAGAAGCAGGTAACAACTTATTAAACTTTCATACTCGCTCATTTTTACCAGCTTATCTTTTAATATCACCACAAATTCGACATGACATCGGCAGTTAGAAAGCTAATTGCTGTCACCACTTTTATTATTTGCTTTTTATTAATATTTTAAAGGGATTTTTTCATGCCTGACAGTTAAATCTCCTTTCACAGTCGGCGTCCCACTGGTTCCCCCATCCAAGACCTCATTTTATCTTCATGTCATTATCGGTTAAACCTTTTATAGATGCTCCAAAGGGAATAACAGTGATATCTGAAAACCTGAAAACCACACAATCCGCCGCTGCAGTCATGATTCTCACGCCGCTGTCCACATTTACAGTTTATTTAGTTCTACCAATGTAAAATCAGACAGAAAATGAAACTGCTGTTGATCTTAAAATCATGTTGGCAAGTGGCTATCACAGACAATCTGTAACACAATGTATTACTTCCACTGTCTAGAGGGCGTATCATCATTTTCTTTTCAGTTAGCTTGTAGCTCAAACAAATTATCTTCCAGGAGTGTCCTCAGGTGTCCTCAGGTGTCCTCAGGTGTCCTCAGGTGTCCTCAGGTGTCCTCAGGTGTCCACAGGTGTCCACAGGTGTCCTCAGGTGTCCTCAGGTGTCCTCAGGTGTCCTGTATGTTCCAGATGTGTCCTGGATCTGAAATATCTGGTCCAGATCTTCAGAAGCCTGTTGAAGCAGGGACGCCTACATTGTTTTGTTTACGCCAATACTAACATAAAGTTACTTAAATCTTTTCCATTTTCCAGCAGCCAGATTTATGTCTCCCATCCAATATTCATACAATCAGATGTTGCAATGTATTTTAACATGTGCACTGCTTTACTCTCTTAAAGGCTTGTATAAAGGTACTTGTACATTACCCAAACAGCACAAAAGAAGATCAGGTATCAGATCTACTTGGGTTTCCGTTTTGCACACTGTCATGTTGTCTCCATCTGTGGTGACACACAGCAGCAGTTCTCCATCTCCAAACATGTTGATCTCTGTTTGTTCATCACATGTGTGCCATCGTCGAAGTGCAGCGCTGCATGCGATCAGGAGAATGTGTGTCCCCACATAGATTTGTCTGTGCTCAATCTGGATGCTTAGCCGCTCGCTGCCTCTTAATGAGGAGAGTTTCTGCACCTTGATCAATCTCTAAACTGCAAACAGAATGTTTGGCATCCAGTTTGCCAGTTAGAACTTTGGCAGCTTCTTCTGTTTTAGAAGAGTCTCTGCAAATATCTTTGTGAAATGCTGCAGATATTTGCTGAGATTTGTTTGGAGCCCTCTGAAGCTTATCTGTTAAAACTGGTTTCCACAGTTAGTTTGTCATCCAAACTAACCTCAAACTGAATTTCTTCAATACATTTGACTCTAAAACTGAACAAAAATTCACCCCATAAACAGCAATACAGCAAATCTATGCAACTTTCTGTTTAATATATCTGGTAAATGCAAGTTTGCGTTGATTCCTGCACTGCAGAACACACTGTGGTGCGTCCTGCCCAACTCTCTTTGTTCTGAGTGTCGCTGCAGCGTGTCTGTGTGTTTGCATGACATGCTGTTGAAGATTTTTGGTCTGTGTGTTTGTGTTTGGATGCCCAGTTTGGGGTCGTGTAAAGTAACTCCTATCTCTAATCTACCCTGTCATTGTAGACTATTGGGGAGATTCTAATTACAGTGAAATCCTGGACTTGCATCTGGGCGGTATGTATTTCAAATCTGTCGCTTTAAAACTAATCCAATAGCTAACCCAAGCTCTCCTTCCCCTATTTGTTTTACTACTTGAGCTTTGTACCCCACATGTCTACCTTTAGTGTCTGGTGGCTTTTTAGCCTTTGCACTGTTCGTGCTCCTTAACCTCTCCACCTTCATCCCTCGCTGGGTTTCTAGTCGGGACACTTGTCACACCAGAGATCAGACACTGTTTTTATAAAGATCATGAAGTTATGAATAAGGAATGAGGGAATAGAAGATTAGCTGCTATGTGTCAGTCCTTGTTATGCAGATTGTTCAGTACAGACGGCAGCAGGAATCTGAGCAAAATGCACAAGGAGACGCTGACAACCATACAACAGCAAAATACTAAAACATTATTTTATGGCTGCAGGAATCTATTTTAAATAGAAAAGGAGGCATGCCCCAATGAGGATTTGTTTTTGTCCCAGTCTGGAATTCATTTTGAGTCGATACATTTATTGCATCTTTAAAGCCATAAATAAATACCATAAAAAACACATTACAGTTAAACAAATTGTGAGCAGAGTGCAGAGCTCCTGACATGCAGACATGAATGTACCTAAAGATAGTCAAAGCCACAGACTGAGGATATGTCAAATATGGGACGTTGAGAGAAGACTGCATCTAAAGTTAGAGCCATAGATGTCAACTATGACATCTATAGATGTCAACTATGACATCTATAGATGGATAGAATAGAGTAGAAATAACTGTTATTATCCCACAGAGTGAAGATGCAGGTGTAACAGCTGCATCAAGACATGTAGGATCCACTGAAGGTCCAAAAGTGTTAAATAAATATATATACACACACACAACAACAACAATAATAATATACAGTACATGATTATAACATATAATATTGTGTAGTTATTAATAGAAATACTCTCAATCCAAGGGATGATGTGCAAATGAGGTTTTGTTTACTGTACATAATATTTATGTGTTGAACATTAAAAAGACAACAGCGTGTTTAGAGTGCAGTATATCAGAAAAACAGATGTGCAGCAACAGCAGAAATGTTATGTAAAATGAGCAGAAGCAGAATAAATGACTGTTTGGTGCCAGCAGGGATGTAAACACTGATTTAGTTTGTTATAAAGTCTAACAGCTGCTGGGAGGAAAGATCGACAGAGATTCCTAAATGTTTGGCATCAGATTCACAGTTTGATTCTGATGCCAGATTCAAACTGAAGGTAACCAACATGAGGTTCGTTGCAGTAAGTCATACCTGTAAGGCTCACTGGAGATCTGCTGGACAACGTCACCGGCAGGACGTTTTGTCATAAACTCATAAAAAATCACCGATTGAGACCCCAGTTTGATGCTCAGGAGAGTTTTACTGTCTAAACTCTGTCAGCCAATCATGCAGCAGCCACACGGTTTCCTGCTCAGCAACATAAATGTGTGTATTTTTCTGGGTCTGTTTATAATAGAAGCACTTTTTACAACCCTGTTTGCCCCAAACGGCTCCGAGTTTTGGATGCATATAATTCCTCCGACAGGATTGGTAAATAACATGTATATATATTTTTTACCAATCCTGTCATGGACCGACAGAAGGGATTGATCTACAGATAGGATTGATCTTTTCTTTTCTTTCATCATTTTAAATTTTAAAACCAGGAATTGAAATGGATGCCTTATCTTTTAAAGGGATTATTTAAAAATAAATCAAAGACACCAGACTATGTTACGAAGGGGATTTTTGATACATGAGCTCTAAGCTACCTGTTTGGGTTGACTCTAAAATTTATATTCTTGTGATTAAATTTATCCAATTACTCCAGTTTTCCAGTTTGTTTCATCTCAGCCCTCCGTTAATTCATTTACATATTTAAGATAGAATATGTAAATTGGAAATGCACATGAAATTCAGCCCTCCTTCACACACACACACACACACACGCACACACACACACACACACACTACAAAAGTCTTATATAACCTCCATGAACTGGCTGGTCTGGCTCTGTGCTGCTGTACTTCTGCTTTATATCCCCAATAGTTGCTTCCTCATTCCTGCTCAGTTGCTTCACTCCGAGTGTTTCTGTTCTCCGTCCTGATAGATCAGTGTTTTAACCCTTTAACGGCGGCAGCTGAGTCTGAAGTGTAGTTGCAACATGGAAGCCCATCTGGGTTAAGACTTGATGTTGTCTGTTGCTGTCGTGTTGCGGAGGAATCCATCTTTTTCTCCTCATGCGTTCTGTGAGCTCAGCAGTGTTTTTGAGAGAGGCCAGTAGTTTGATTTCGAGTCGTGGAATCTCAGCGAGAGCCGGGAGACGTGTGTGTTTCCTCAGGTTTGTGTGGGATTTGTGTGTTTTCATCCTGCTGCTTGTTGACAGGTGATTGTGTGGAGATTTTAAAGGTGAGCATTTTAATGTTCCTCGCTGTATCCGCTTGACCAGAGGCGTGCCGTTTCATCTCTTTACAACCAGCTTGTTTTCCCATTTAACTGTTGGGCTCATGCACTATGCATGAATGCTGAACAGAGTTTTTCAGTCAACATAATTTATAAAACACTTCAAAAACAGCAGAGCTGAAATAAGAGTAAGAAGAATAAAAAAATATTAGAAATGAAACAAAGTAGTTAACAGTTAAACACAAGTGAAAGTATCATTAAGAGCAAAAGAGCGATCAGGTGAAGCAGTCCGATCCCAACTGAGATGGATTAGTTTGAAACCCAAACCAAATGGTGCATCTTAAAATAAGGTTTTTTTATTTATAATCAGGGTTCATTGCATAATTTGAAACTCAAAAAGTTTATGTCTGAATCCCTCCGGCATCCTGCAGGTTTTTAGTTCTCTACCTGGTGGTAGTAACAAACTTTTCAGCTTGTCAATGTTCCTCTTAGGCCTCCAGTGAGCCATCTTTGGATCCAGGTGTGTTAAACCAGGGAGAGAATAAAACATGCAGGACGCCGGCCCTCCAGGACCCACTTTGGGCTCCACTGCTCCACTTCATCACCAGTAAACACAACAATCCAAAGAAGATGTTAAAATAATGGAACTGACTGTAGGAGAACCAGGAATCACACAGTTCACTCTGTTACCAAGACAACCGGACGCCTGTTGCTATGGCGTCTGTAGTGTGTGTAGTTGATTAACTGCTGTTACGTTTTAGCCCTGCAGGTGATACAGGAACCATTTACTTGTTTTCCTTTAGATTTAGTTTTCCATAAAAATGGAATCAGATGAGTTAATTATTCCTGTTCAGATAAAAATCTATTGAGCATGCATTTCCAAAAATATTTGCATAATTTGAGGAAGCCATTAAAAAGCCATTAAGACTCCAGTCTTTCCAAAGCACATATTCTAGTCTGCAGCTTTTCTCTTTTCTCTGTGATAGTCTCTTGTCATTATTATCCAACATTCAGGCCTTAAAACTCTTCAACCACCAGCCGTAAAACCTGCTAACTACGTCCCACACAATCAGCTCCGCATCCTGATCGAATTGTCTGAACAACATGCTTTACCTTCATTATTTGGACTTTAATTAAAGGAGCCCATGCTGTTTACAATCGTTCCTCTTTTCTTTGGAAAATCTCTTCACTGAAAGCAAATTAGAAAAATAAATCCCAATTTGCACTTCAAAAGTCTCCAAACTTCAAAAGTCTGGCAACACATTAGGGTGGGTGGTCTAAACGTGTTCAGGCAGGTATTTACCCAGAGAGGCTCTTTAAAGACAAAGCAATTATCAGTGTGTGTGTGAACGCCATGGATACCCTGGTGATCAGTAGCGGCTGGAGTAATGGTGTTAAATTATTTTATGTGCTTTGATAAACACTGACCATATGTTGTAGGCTATTTCCATTTTATTACTGACACAGGGAGCTGCCACCTAATTGAAGTTTATCTGTGGAGCTGCAAATGGAAGATCAAACGGGAGGCTTATTTTTTCCAGCTCGGTTGTGTGGATTTGTTGTTTTCACTTGTTTCCCTTCTGTGTTTTTACCCTTTTTCATTTTTCACACCACAGCTTATCTCTCCCAGCTCTTCTCTGTAGGGGATTGGTCTTCTCCTCCATATCTCTGTCCTCTGTTGACTTTTCTCCTTGATATTTTCTTCCTTACCTCCTTCCCCTTCCTTCCCCATCTTTGTGCTTTTGTGGTGTCCTGTTCTTTCTTCTACATTATCCTCTCATGCTTCCTTCTCCTTGGCTTCTGCACCATCTGTGTCCCTCCCTCTCATTACTTCCCCCCGTCTTGTGGAAGTTGAGCCCTTTGTGGGGGTGCCTCGCCGGAGACCGCTCTCCCTCTGCCCTTGCTGTTCCTCTGAAGGTAACGCCACCTTGCTGCATGTTTCCAGAGTTGTGGCAGGTCGCCTTCTCAGTCGTAAGGCTCTCCAGCTCTGGGTTACTTTGTTTCCCCTAATGTTTGACTTCAGTTACTCACAATAACAGAAACGATAGCAACACGTCAGAGTACCAAACGTTAGTGGTGATGCTGCTAAAGTTTAAACATATCAGTAAAGCAGACACAAGGAATGCTAAAGAGGAAGTGTTGTCCAAACACTGTTAACATCAACATGAAAAGTTCAGTCAGTCTCCAAGTAACGGCTGCAGGTGTTTGTTCAATAACTGTATTGAACAAACACCTTGGTGGTGTTGCTCATGCAGCAGCGTCTGACATGTCCTCCAAAATGGCCGACGTCTGAGTAGAACCACACAGTTACACAATGAAAAGTAATTATATTATTTTTACTGCAAATGTTCAACAGCAATTAAACACAATCCAGGGTTGAGTATTTCCCAGCAAATTTAAAATGTTGCCTGAGGAAATATTTCCCTGCTTTAGTTGTGAAACTCTGCAGTCCAATCAAGGGGAAAACTATCCAGACATGTTTTTAATCAACAGCATGTTTCTTTTTGCTGTTTGGCTAATCTGTATTTATCCCATTTTTGCTGTTGCTGTTGGGAATTGTGCCCTTTAAATATGCATATTCTTTCTTCAGTATGAATACCTGGAAGCTCACAGACAAGTGTGTATTTGAGGACTGAAAAAGTTGCATGCTGTGACAGTTTGACATCAGATCTTACCCAGAGCAAGTCTTAAAGTTTAATGCACCGCCTGGTTTGTCTCTGTATCTAACAGCTGTGAGACGTAACTCTGCCTGAGTGTGAGGAAACCAGTGTGTTTCTGTGTTTCTGTGGTTGTTTTTGCTGTTTTGTCCCAGATTTTAACAGTTTATGCTGAGGGTTGTTGGTGGTGGACCTTTTCTGTGGTTTAGGAATGAAAAGATGCAGACTATGTTAGAAAGATCAGTTTTGATTTGGTAATTGTTCTGCTTTCAGTTTGATGCGCTGTTCCTCAGCTGTGTCCGTCTCTGTTTCTGTCAATAGCTCAGCTCCATCCTGGAGACCACAGCCATGCCGTTTATTTGTGTACGACGTTTTTTTTCCTTTTCATTTTGCAAGAGTCTCCTCTAACCCAGCTAAGTATGTCATGCTGCGTCAAGGGTTCCCTTCTGGTGTTTGATTGAAACTCCTCGGCTCCACCTGCTGCAGGGAGATGAATGAAAAGTTTCATCACACCAGCATCAGACCTCCCCAGGCATGCTGCATAGACCGCTCTTTGCAGAACAAAGCAGGAATGAAGTCGGAGATTGTGGCTGTTCTGAATGCAGTGCATGACGCCGGTGGCTCTGACCATGCTTTCCCCTGAGGCAGACTCGATACGAGGGCTGAGTCATTTCATGAACATTTTAAACTTTTAGTAGAACATGTGCAAAGAGTAGATGTATTTCTTACTTTCTGCCCTCTAACTGCTGAGCATTAATGGGGTCTAAAAGGTTTTGTTCCAACTTGTGGGGCTTTATGTGAAACATTTGTGGAAATTTTACATAGACTCTACTTTTTTTTTTTTTTTAAGATTTAGGATGGTAAATAATGTCCAGACTTGTTCCACCTTCTTAATGTGATGCAGCTCCTGCTGTTCTACTGGGAAACAAACAGATTTGTTTGTACGAAGCAAACTAGTATTTTATGTTCTTCAGCTTGATAAAAAGCATTTTTAAAATAATTTTCAGCTTTTGAGCATCTAAAGGTTTTGACTAGTATTTAGTCTCTTCTAATCCACTTTGACAGAATTATCAGTTAATCTGCAGAAGAATAACCCCAGATCATGATGCTACCACCTCCGTGTTTCACAGCAGGTATCAGGTTCTTCTTTGTGCCGCTTGGCAGACAAACATTTTACAGCAGCTCTTTATGCAACACGTTTGCTTATTCTGAGTTGAACTGTAAATGGATCTAAATCACTTTAAAGGTGGAAAATGTTTGGAAATGATTTATTGTGGTTTTTATTTTCTCAAAAACAAGCAGTTCATTATTTTCTTGTTCTTTTCAAACTTTTAAGACTAAGTTTAAAAAGAAGACTAAAATCTTCGAGGAGGGGCGGCTGTATGTAGCACACTGGCCAAACTGGGTAACACAAACTCAATATGGTAACAACAGGTGGTTGTGTGTGTGTGTGGGTGTGTGTGAATGTGGGCTGTTTGCTCTTAGTGTGTACACTAAGCAGAAGTGTACACATCCACTACAACCATGGGCTCTTCCCCCGCTCTGCGTGCCATCATCGTCATGTATGGCCCGACTGAGCACGCTGGTGTCAGTTCCTCCTTCCACCAACCATTCCTCAGCAAGGACACCCGGCTTGGCTGTCTCTGTGCCTGTCTCGGCCCCCGTCTGTGTAACATCCCGACCTCTGGTCGCCCTGTCCTCACCTTCTGCTCCCGTCCTCCAGGTATGAGCAAGAAGGACGACCCGAAGCTGATGCAGGAGTGGTTCAAGCTGGTGCAGGAGAAGAACGCCCTGGTCCGCTATGAGTCAGAACTCATGATATTGTAAGTAAATTATTGTGCAAAAACTATTTATGTTATCAAACTGTTTTGCATCCACAGAAGACACAGTTTACACTGGAATATGGAGACGGTTTTGTGTTAATCTTTTTTCATTTTTTGTTTTTACTACCTGAAAAAAACTAATTAAAATCTTATTGTGCTGTTGTCATTTTACATTTTACAACACCACTCAGACCTGAGAAATTAAAGCATTTATGGTTGGCCATAAACATGATGTAAAAGTGTTGCTAAGCAGAACCGTTTTTCATCATTTTTAGGAGATTTATGAGGGAATTTTATGACTCCACCTCAGTGTGTCTAAGCTTTTTGCCTCAAAGGCCAAAATTGGGAAATTTAAGCAACTTGTGGACCATCCATTAAATTAAAGGCAAAAATGTGTTTTTTGTGACTTTTAAATTTTGGGGGGTTGTTTGTTGTACTTGCTCAACAGTAAACAAAATGTTAATGAAATCTGTCTTTGAATGTCCCTAATTGGTAAAAATACTCCACAAATCTCTTCTTAATAAAGAGGTTTGAATATAAATACAATCTCATGGGAAATCCAAGTCTTCTTGTTTGCAGTTTGTCACAAACCACCAAACATGCAGAAGAAGGCTCTCTGCTCAGATGAGTGGAGCTTTTGGCCCCTGACCACGTCATCCCAGTGGTTAAACATGGTGGTGGCAGCATCATGCTGTGGGGATGGTTTTCTCCAGCAGGAAGACGGTTGCAGAAGACCTGAGATTGGGATGGAGGTTCACCTTCATCACCTTGTTCACCTTGTTCNAAATGAAAATTAGCACATTCTTCTTTGATTTACAATTTTGACTTCGAATGATTCACTTCATGCTAAAGAGCCCCCTGGTGGTTGAAGAAAAATACACAGAAAAGCCGCCCAGGGCTAAGCCGCATGGTTCAAAGCTTAGGGAAAAAGTAGCGGCTTTTCATCTGGAAAATACGTACCGTAGGTGAAATTGGATAATTTCCACGGCACAGTGGTTGAAAAACACTGATTTAAAGGGACACGTATAAACTCAACGACAGTAGAAGAAGGAAATTTCAGCTTTAATATAATTTGTGTTTGATTTGTTTACATTTTCTCCAGATTCTGATTTTTTTGTTTTATTAATCTCAAATAAAACTTCTGGTTTGAGAAGGTCTGTAGATCAACGCAGCCTTCAGACGGCTCCAGGTCTCAGCAGCCGGCTGCTAATGTCTGCAATAATAAAGATGTTTCACTGTCAGCCAATAAATATCATCTTCCCCGGAGTCCTGAACCGGGGCGGCTCAGCGGATCATCAAACCGTCAGGGTTTATTCTGTTCATTTTTCATCTAATCTCTGCTTTCTTTTATGAGAATGCAATTCAACTTGCTACCTATTTACTGAAATAACTATTATATTCTTAAACAAACTCATTCACTTATGGTTTTATCTTGTTACATGTTCTGAAAGCTTCTGGATTAAATCTGTCTTGCTTTGAAGAACTAAGAATTGTTTATTTAACAAAAGTGAGTAAATTTGCTTGGAATCTGCTGGATTTTTACGGCCTTGGACAAGATTTCACACCCTCTGAATTATTCATGTTGAAGCCACAAACTTCAGTTTGTTGTCATTAGATTTTATGACAGAACAGTGTAATTATTCAGAGCTGGGAGAATGTTCTCCCCCCAGCCTGAGCTGGAGCTGGAGATCTGATCTGCATAAAGTTTCACTTCCATCACACTGTCCAGGTTTCATTTCTAACACAGTTTTGCTTTACTTTGTGTTGATCTATTAAATAAACTCTCAAAACCATGATTTGAAGTTTGCTCTGCTTATCAGATACATTTTCTTTTAAACTTTTTATCATGTTTTGTCATGTTAAAGCCTCAAACTTATTTCTTCTTCTGTGGTTCTGTGTCAAAGTGCCAGAGAGCTGGAGCTGGAGGACCGGCAGAGTCGGCTGCAGCAGGAGCTCCGGGAGCGAATGGCTGTGGAAGGTGAAAACTGCAGCCAAATGCTGTTGGTTTTAATATAATACGAGTTAAAACAACATTTAATTTCCTTTTGGCGTCAATAAAGTATGTTTAATCAAATTGAATTAAGATTCATTTTATTTAAAATAGAACTGAAAACAACATATTTAAACTGCTCCATAGTTTTTAAGCATCTCAACTTGTCAGATAAATGCTTTATCATTTATTTGATAGATTTGAATCTGTTGAGATTAGGGCTGCAACTACTTTAGTAATCAATTAATCAGGATAAAACTTGCCACATTCTACAGATTTTTCATTTAACCTTTTTATGCAATATTACAAATACATTAACAGAAGCAAATAAACATATGGTTCAATTATTTTTTTAAATAAGAAAATGGCAGCATTCCTGTAGTAAATCCTAACCAGGTGAAGCTATAACTGCCACTTTAGGAGTTTTGGCTAAAACATATTTACATACAAAGGTGTTTATAATCTTATATGCAAAATGTATGTGTGTGTTTTGTACAGTTTTGGTTTAATTACAGCTCCGAGTGTTTTTACAGCAAATTGCCTGTTTGGAGTTTGTATATTACTCTAAAACCATTAATCAGTTACTAAGTTAGGTGACGATTATTTCAATAATCACAATTAATCAGATTAACAGTTTCAGCCCTAATTGAGATGCTCCTGGTTTGTTGGTCACTTCCTGAACTCTGGATGTTTTTGTAAATCTCTTCCACTTTTCTCTCCTCAGACCACCTGAAAACCGAGAAGGAGCTGGCTCAGGAAAAGCAGATCCTGAATGAAATGCTGGAGGTGGTGGAGCAGCGCGACGCCCTGGTGGCCCTGCTGGAGGAGCAGAGACTTCGGGAAAAGGAGGAGGACAAGGACCTGGAGGCAGTCATGCTCTCTAAGGGATTCAGCCTGAACTGGGCCTGAAAGCTGACACACACACACACACACACACATACATACATGCACATACATACACACACACACACACACACACATACATACATGCACATACATACACACACACACACACACACACACAAGGTTTGTCTCGTCAAGCAGCAGCGCAAACTCCACTCAAGTCGTCTGAAGATAGACACGAGCAAACGATCCGGAACTGTCACACCTACAGCACTGAATGTGTAGATCTGTTTCCAACACAACAAACTCGCCACGGCTGCCTCTGACACTGACGCAGCGTTCCAGATCCCCGCCTGAAGGCGGTCCAACTTAATCACTCTGCAGTTGGGTTCCTCTCCCTCTGTGTGGGAGGAGAGCCGAGTTCATGTTCACTAGTTTATCATCGCAGCCTTGAAGAGGATCCTTTCAGGCCCGCAGGGACAATGTGTGGAGACTTTATAAAGGGAAGAATCAGTTCAGTCCTGCTGATGTAAAGACATTGTAAAGTTTTTGTGTATAGATGTGTTGAACAACAATTCCTGCAGAGGTGTGTTTAATGACAGAGTGTTTATCCTAATGAACCACACACACACCGAACGGCCATGTTTTTGTCCTCCTCCACTGTTTAGTGAGTCAACACTAAGAATTCATTAACTCTGGCCACCTTTTTTAGTTCTTTTTTTATATTTCTATGCTTGCTTTTAAAAGATGAACACTTTTTCCTGTTGCATTCACAGGAGAGTGCCCAGGATCTCATTATCTTCTGCATAACCCTCCTGCACTCTGAAGCCATTGCGTGTCAGTAATGCGGCTGCAGGCTCATGCAGCGGAGCAACTTGACGTGTCTTTAATCATTTCTCAGACTCGATAACGCCCGGCCTCTCCGGGAGAGCCGCCGTTTTACGGTAAATCACACTGACAGTAAAAGTTTACAGAAAGGCGTTTGATTATCGGGTGGCTATTGATGGCGCTGCGGGAGGCGGCTGATGGAGGGAGCCGTGTCATCGGTGTGATGTCGTTATACCAGCAGAGGTCTGGAGTTCCTGGCGCTCACTCTGTGCCACAGGAAGTTCTCAGTTACACTACAGACGAATCGCGGCTCATGCTGAATATTTGAACAAGATGCCTTTTTAAGTTTTGTTTTCCACATTAAAGTTATATTTAAGTCCAGTTTTTTTGTTTTTAAGGTGGAACTAAGTTTTTTAATCTATTCTGCTTCATGCAAATCAGTTAGAAAGAATCCAAACATGTTAAAAGTGCAGCAGAGGGTACGGTTGAAAACCCCGACGTGATCAGTGAATACAAAGTTACATAACTTTAAAGACTGTTGTTTTTCGATGGCGTGTGAAACGTTTGACGTGATTGTACTGATATTTATTAACGTGTGAAAACTGTACCATATGTAAAGAAAAATGAATCCTAATTTGTTAAACTGTTCTGTTGACACATGGACTGCAATGTAAATGCTTCTTCATGTAGCTAGAACACATAGAGGTGTTGGATGTATGCAATAAAACAATGCAGCTGTTCTTTTACATGTTTGGGCCAGAACTCTGATTCCTTAAAGGGACGGGTCCAGTTCTTTGGGGGGATAAAAAACACAGATGAATGGACATCACATTTTTTGTGGTGTTGCTCACAGCTGGGAGGGAAAGAAACGGGATGAATCACCTAAATTATTTTACTGTTGTAGACAAAAAATAAAGTAGCAAAGCATCATTTACATGCAGTTATTCACTACTAAAGCAACAACGTACTCCTAGGAACAAATGAGAAACATGAAAACTGATTAATACAAAAGCAACAGACAGAGTCAGCTTCAAAAATTACTTTGAACAGCCAATATAGAGTTTAATAAATAACTTCATGTAATAAAAAAAGACTGAGGATTTTATGATTTTAATAAGCTCCTAATGAATCTTCCTCAGGAAAACAAATATAGGTCGGTTACCTCTGTTGGGTTGGCAGCATCACTTTAAATAATGAGCCCTAGATCTGTTTTATGCTCTATTGTTACCATTCATTCATTGTGATCTATTTTCCCTCCTTTGATTCCCACTTGAAATTAGTTCTTTTCATGAATCTTACTTCCCACCAAATAAGGAAAAATGCACTAAAAATACTGATTTGCATGGACACCAGATAATTTTTTATTAAATCACCTCACACTGATCTGTTTATATTCCACTTTGACATTTTCCATTTCATTGGTGTCTGTTTGTATTTTTACTCATAAACTGAGCAGATCTAATCTTCTGGAATCATCTGAACCAGAATTATTTAAGTTTGCCAGAACAACCTGTCTGTGTAAGGGGAGCATTTTGTGTCTTTGCTGTTGACTGGAAGAATAGAGATGCATGATGGGACTAGCTGTTGCGTGGTGGTTTAAAGCTCTTTGAAGGTTTTTCTGACACTTGCTGTATTTGTCTGCAGTGCATTAGACAGACAGACATCACGCCCTGCCACTTTTAGTTATATTTTGTTTGTTGTTTTAGATTAACCTGTATATCATCGTTAAATGTTACATTGCAGGCAGAAAGTCTAAGAATTGCATTTCTGCACAGCTTTAGCATCTTACCCGTGCTTTTATTGTGAAAGCGAATGAAGCAATATATGACTTCCGCTGAGGAATGCGTGAAGGAAACAACTGTTTGAGGAGGGGGGGTTTCTACAGCTGCAGAAATGATTGCATCGAGTTTCAGGGACTGTCAGGTGAGTGTTAAATGTTTTTCACCACAGATGCAGTAAAAATCCTATTTTAGTTAAATTCAGAGTTTTTTCGCTGTAAAGTGAAGTTGCGTTGAAGGACGTCGCTAAAGTTAAAGAGAGACTTTAAACTTTCCTGCTGATCTCCTAATCAGTCAGCTTGGTCTGGAAAGTGAAGCAACAACGTTTTCAATCTAAAATGAACTCTGGGTATTTGTGCTGAGGAAGTTTTCTGTTGGAAGAAGCGCAGTTTTGTTATGTGCTCTGCAGGCGTGGAAAGATGAAGCTCTCCCGCTATCTACCAGCAGCAATGAGGCGTCCAAACTGTATGACGCCATTCTCACACAGGTAACCTCCAGACATCTATTTACAAAAACCCACAAGTGATTATTTTATAATTATGATTAATATGTGGTCAAAAACAGATTGCTGGAAAATTTAAATTTGTTTCAATTAGTAATCATTGCTGATCTGTTTTCTACACGGGAACTTAATTATGAAGCCGTCATGACTGTAGGAGGCGCTGTTTCTCCTCTACACCTGTGTTTTCACACATTTCACCACCACAAATGAAGAAATAATATATTAAGATAAGCTCAGATGAGGATAATTATGAAAATGAATTTGCACATTTTGAATCAGAGCTGCAGAATACATTGCATGTGTATCGTAACTGCAACATTTGATATCTCAGGTGACTTTCTGAACCGTATCATTTTTCATATGAATGTAATATTTAACCAGCTGGACAGAGTCATAAAAGATATCACCTAACAGGTCAAAGGTCACAGAGTGAAAGAAGGATTTACCATTATCACCATCAGAACTGTCCAGAAAAATGTTTTAATCACTCAAAATACTCATTTACACAATAACAGTAAAGGTAGAGGATGAATGGGAACCAACGTTGGAAAGCTGAAAATGTTTTCTGTTGACATCAAAAACAATTTTTTTTTAGCTTTTGTTGAGCTGAAATGATGAAGGTGAACACTGAACCTCCAACAAACTGCATGTATTTTAATATAATCTAATATTTAATACTGATTAAAACACTGATATTTATCCACATAGTCCTTTACGCAGCCACAATATTGGTGATCAATGTATTCAGCAAAATCAGTATATAAAAGAAAACATAAAAATCAGGCTTAAAAGCTGAAACTAAACGAATAAGGTCTGATTAGGTCATTTTTAGATGTTCAAATTCTGCCTGAATAAAAAAGTCTTGAGCTTTGTTTTAAAAAGTCAAGTTGAGCTAAATATGAAGATCTAATGGAAGCTGCTTGACATAATTTATGATCATCGTGTTTTGCAGAGGTTTATGTAGTGACACCAAGTGTTTATTTCAGCCCTGCTCCATTTCTATTTGCATGAAATTGCACATGTAAAATATTATAATTTTCTTTCCCCAAGCTGAGTGCATCTTTAAAAATTAGCTGCGTGATGTTAAACCTCTTTCTGCTTGTCCAGTATGTGAAATGGAGAAATGATGAAACACTGGGAGGGATTGAAGGATGTATTTCTGCCATCCAGACAGCTGACCCCAACTTTGGTAAATAACTTATTTATTCTTTACAAGCTACTAAAATATAAACCTTCCCTCACTGGGAGTCGACCAAAGAATAAAATCCAAGCGTTGAATTAAGTTTAATGCTAAGATTAATCATTGAAAGCTCCAGAGGACATTAATAAGTGCATTTCTTGTGAGTTTTAGTTTTAGCAAAAATAGTTTTATTGTTGTCCAGAAAGAAGAGAAGATGATTTCTTTGACATGAATAAATACTTGAAGTTATTGACGCTAAAGGTGGTTCTACTTGGTCTGCATTTAGCTTGTGTTGCTATGGAAACGTTCTTTAATTTTAAAATGCACATAGGAGATGCAAAGCAACTGAGCTGCACCAGGCTGAAAATCAAATTTAGTTGAAGTGTTTATGGTTCTTGCTTTTATAACAAGTTATTGGCTGCATATTAAACATTAAAGCTCAGATTGCAGCACATGAAGCTGTGGGCATCAGGGGATGTTAGTGTAAGATGTCTGTCTGGTGTTTTGATTGACCAGTAGTTTTTGTTGTTGTTTTTTAAACTTTTTCTGTATTTTTCATATCACTTTTATTTGTTGTTTGCAGTCAGAGACAGGAATGAAGCTTTAAAAAGTTTGTAGAATCCTTCTGGGTCCGAAACAAAACAGAACCTTGAGAAGAAGGAGCGTGTGATTTCATGTGATTTCATGTGATTTTTCATTGTCACTCCTGCGCCGTGGGAAGGAAAAAAATTAATATATTTATCCATTTATTGATGCCACAGTTATGGGCCATGTGATCAGCACTGGGTTGGAGCTGATTGCCACGACGAGCAGCGCCCGGCTTGACGAGCGTCTGGCCAGCGCTGTGAGGCGAACGGTGGAGCTCGCCAGCAGCCAGGATATTTCTCCCCGGGAGAAGCTCCATGCCAAGGCTGTGGAGCTCTTCTCACACGGGTAAGATCCAAAACTGGCTGCAGGCGGTCCGACCCAAAAAGGTTCGATCAGGGATGGGAGGGTGGTTGTTAAAGAGGCTTCGTTTGTGCAGCAACCAGCTGGATGTTTGAAAATGTCACATTTTTAAAACTTCAATTTAGTCATTTTGATGGGAACTAAATAAGGAAGATGTAGTTTATAAAAAAAAATTGTAAAAACATTGGTGGCTTATTTATTAGTTTAATAAAATAAACTCAAATTATATCATTTGTACTTTTATTACCAAAGATGATCTGAAGAAATGCTGAAAGCAGTTTTACATTAATCATGA